TTAGTTTCAATAATTTTGTTCATTTACTTATTCAGTTGATTTCTGCATATCAGTTAATATATGCAGTGTTTTCATATCATTTGCATTATCTGTGTCCAAATGTAAGCATGCTGGAGACAATGTTTATATACAAATTGAGAGAGTAAACACAAACTGAACCTGTCCATGAGAGGCTCTCCCGGTGTTTATATACCTCTGCTTATCTTATTTTTTTTATTAACACATCAGCCGATTCCCACCAAGGCAGGGTGGCCCGCAAAAGAAAAACTTTCATCATCATTCACTCCACCACTGTCTTGCCAGAGGGGTGCTTTACGCTACAGTTATAAAACTGCAACATTAACACCCCTCCTTCGGAGTGCAGACACTGTACTTCCCATCTCCAGGACTCAAGTCCAGCCTGCCAGTTTCCCTGAATCCCTTCATAAATGTTACTTTGCTCACACTCCAACAGCACGTCAAGTATTAAAAACCATTCGTCTCCATTCACTCCTATCAAATACGCTCACACATGCTTGTTGGAAGTCCAAGCCCCTCACACACAAAACCTCCTTTACCCCCTCCCTCCAACCCTTTCTAGGCTGACTCCTACCCCACCTTCCCTCCACTACAAATTTATACACTCGAAGTCATTCTGTTTCGCTCCATTCTCTCTACATGTCCGAACCAACTCAACAACCCCTCCTCAGCCCTCTGGATGATAGTTTTGGTAATCCCACACCTTCTCCTAATTTCCAAACTATGAATAACTAACTATGAATTCTCTGCTCTAAATTCACACCACACATTGCCCTCAGACATGACATCTCCACTGCCTCCAGCCTTCTCCTCGTTGCAACATTCATCACCCATGCTTCACACCCAGACAAGAGTGTTGGTACAACTATACTCTCATACATTCCCCTCTTTGCTTCCACAGACAAAGTTCTTTGTCTCCACAGACTCCTAAGTGCACCACTCACCCCTTTCCTCTAATCAATTCTATGATTCACCTCCTCCTTCACACACCCATCTGCTGACACGTCCACTCCTAAATATCTGAATACATTCACCTCCTCCATACTCTCTCCCTCCAATCTGATATCCAATCTTTCACTGCTTAATATTTTTGTTACCCTCATAACCTTACTCTTTCCTATATTCACACCTCTTGCCAAGACCCTCACATTCACTTCTCTCACAACCCCATCTATAAATATATTGAACAACCATGGTGACATCACGCATCCTTGTCTAAGGCCTACTTTTACTGGGAAATAATCTTCCTCTCTCCTACATACTCTAACCTGATCCTCACTATCCTTGTAAAAACTCTTCACTGCTTTCAGTAACCTACCCCCTATACCATACACCTGCAACATTTCACTGCTTTCAGTAACCTACCCCCTATACCATACACCTGCAACATCTGCCACATTGCCCCTCTATCCACACTGTCATATGCCTCTTCGAAATCCATAAATGCCACAAAAACCTCTTTACACTTACCTAAATAGTGTTCACCTATATGTTTCATTGTAAACACTTGGTTTACATACCACCTACCTTTCCTAAAGCCTCCTTGTTCATCTGCTATCCTACTCTCCATCTTACTCTTAATTCTTTCAATAATAACTCTACCATTCACTTTACCAGGTATACTCAACAGACTTATTCCCCTATAGTTTTTGCACTCTTTTTTTTTTTTTTTTTTTTTTATCCCCTTTGCCTTTATGCAAAGGAACTATGCATGCTCTCTGCCAGTCCCTAAGTACCTTACCCTCTGCCATACATTTATTAAATAATAACACCAACCACTCCAAAACTATATCCCCACCTGCTTTTAACATTTCTATCTTTATCTCATAAATCCCAGCTTCCTTACCCCCTTTCATTCTACCCACTTCCTCACGAACTTCCCCCACACTCAAAACTGGCTCATCCTCACTCCTACAAGATGTTATTCCTCCTTGCCCTGTACATGAAATCACAGCTTCCCTATCTTCATCAACATTTAACAATTCCTCAAAATATTCCCTCCATCTTCCCAATACCTCTAACTCTCCATTTAATAACTCTCCTCTCCTATTTTTAACTGTCAAATCCATTTGTTCCCTAGGCTTCCTCAACTTATTAATCTCACTCCAAAACTTTATCTTATTTTCAACAAAATTTGTTGATAACATCTCACCCACTCTCTCCTTTGCTCTCTGTTTAGATTGCTTCACCATTCTCTTAACCTCTCTTTTTTTCTCAATATACTCTTCCTTTGCATAATAAAGGTTGAAAATGAAAGGAACCTGAATGTAATGTGTATGCCCTGCCTACTTCATATATATTTGTGCATCAGTTTAATTGGTACACTTGTATATTTTAATCAAGAAACTAGGACATGGGTGAGTGTGTTATTCTTGTTTTTGTTGTTGTTGTAGGTGTTAACTCTTAAACTGTCCAAACATAGATCAATGTTCACATGCATAGCACTCTGATCGTAGATCTACGTTTTATTTTACATGCTTTTAACCTTGGCACGATAAGCCTGAGTTGCCTAGACATGACAGAATGAGTCAGTGCATTCAGTGTGTGCAGTATGGTAAAATTCAGGGATACCGAGAAAAATGTGCTCTTGATTTTAAACAAAAAAACAATTCTTTTTTTCTCTAAAACATTCAGAGTGGTATGCACGTGAACGTTGATCTATGTTTGGACAGCTTAAGGGTTAATGGCTAACGGTCTGCAAGTATACCATCCACACTTCCTTACAGACTGATATTTTTATTGTTGAAAATGCAAGGGAAGTGATAATTTCATTACATTCCTTTACTGTAATAAATTTATTTATATGTATTAAATAGTTTGTGTTTGCAAAAGCATTCTGGTAGTCAATTTCACAGTAGTGAGATGAACACATCAACCCTGGGACCGCCACAATCTTCAACCAAACAATAACAGTACATTCATATATACATACATGCTGATAGCCTTGATAAGCTTTTCAAGTGCTTTCATAATTTTTTTCACGTTTTCTTGGATAGCTTGCATTTGTATTATGGTGGGTGCTACTCTGGACACTTTTATTTAGTAAAATAGCATTGTCTTAGCAAGTAAAATACATATGGTTTACAGTGGTACCTCGAGTTTCGAACAGCTCCCAACTCAAACAATTATGTAAGTGCTTTTGTAAGTGTATTGTTGGGGTCTGAAACAGACTAATCTAATTTGCATTATTCCTTATGGGAACAAATTCGTTCAGTTTAGGCACTCGAACAGCCTTCTGGAATGAATTAAGCTCATAATTCGAGGTACCATTATATTTTTTTTTATTGATATTTGCAAGGGATAGATGATAGCAGGTCTGAAACAGACTATGTTTGCACAGGTATTGTGCAGGATCACATCCACCCTTCCCACACATTTCCAGGTCAACAAACACTGACAACTACAGTGAATATATTCTTCTTAGGCCTAGAGCTTTATTCATCTTATGCTGTAGCATCAATTGTATAAATTATTGGAGGGTAAAAGAGGCGAAAGATATATTAATTGACTGTCTACTGTATTTATTTCCATATATACATTGCTAGTCATGGCATTATGCTGCTCCACCCCCACACACATACCAAAACACAAGCACATACCATGAAAGATTATAATATATATGTATATATTTGCACACTTACTGAGGTTTTAATACTTGGTGCTGCATCCTTTACACTTAATCACGTCCCTCAGCTGTGTAGGAAGACTCTCACGCAAATTCTTAAGGGTTTGGGGAGGTATATTATTCCATGCCTCATGTAGAGCAGTCTTCAGCTGTGGGATGGAACTGATATCCTTGCCCAGCACACATCATCTCACTATTGACCAGAGGTTCTCAGTAGTGTTTAGGTCTAGGAAATTGCCTGGCCAGTCATTAAAGAGCCTCGCTTTACAGTTTTTAAGCCACTGAACTACAGATTTGGCGGTATGACACGGTGCACCGTCTGGCATAAAAACCATAGTCCCACACTTGTCAAATGCCTCAGGTAAATTGTCACACAATAACTCCAGGTAATTATACTGGTTCATATACTGGTTTTTGGGAGGCACAATGAGTTCACCAACACTCAGAGCACTGAAACACCACTGTTGAGGAGTCCAGTGAAGATATTTCTTTGCATAATCTAGCCTACGTTTCTTCTGTGACTTGGAGAGGATCGGTTTCTTAACTTGTCAGTGTCTACTGTAGCCCAGTTCTGAGACATGTCTGTTAACAATTCTTATAGACACCTCTGAGAGAAGATGTGGGTTCTTTTCTTTCAATTCTCTAGCAGTTATCTTAGGTGTACACTCTTACTGCTTCTTTAACACAGTTAAGGTATGAACAGATGTCTTCTTTGAGGGGCCAGACTGAGGTTTGGCAGACGGTAACTCGTCACCGCCAGCAGCCTTGAAATGCTGCACCCAATTCCTCACTGAACGCTCACACGCACCAACATTCTCCACTATTTCTTTCGTCTGGTGACCAGCTTTGTGAAGCTCTATGATTTGAGCTATAGTTTCAGGTGTTAAAGACTTCCTTTTACCCATAATCAAACATGTATAGCCCCAAAACCAAAGGGAACACTGGATAAAAGATGGGGCAGATGAGAGACAAAAGTGCAACATTTCCTCTCACCACAGCAGCCATGTGAACACTGAGGAGTGTGGCAGCAGGCCGTGATGTCATGCTACTGACTGCTACCTAGCATAATGCACTGATGAAAAAAGACCCCTCTGTATGATTGGCCTTTGATTTTCATTACGGCATTATGCCGGGACGCTCACCCGGCACTGTACATGTATATCATTAAATATTCATATTTGACGTACGATATTTTTGAACTACGATTGGTTCATTGAGATGTAACCTCATCGTAAGTCAAGGACCAACTGTAATTTACAAGAATGTCTATTTTCATCTGTTCAGCAAAGTTTTTGTCCAGGTTGTCATTTCAGGTTTTCATCAGTCTCTTAAATTTACAGTAACATTCTTTCTCCAGGTAGTTATGTTAACCAATGATCCAAAGTCTTCCAAACATCCCAACATCTATGAGATCGACCACGGTTTTAAGATTTTCGGTGAAGAAAATGTATTTGAAAGCCGTAATGACCTGACAGGCAGTTTTTCTTTGTTCATTGTTGATCTTCCGCCAGTAGCGCAGAACTTATACAAAATCCCCAAGGTGAAGGAGCTTTACGAAAATAGGAAGGAGTTTGACCTCTTTATAGTCGACCATGCATTCAATGAGGTGAGAGAGTTTCTCTTTAAACTTCTGTAAAAGAGGGTCATTCATCTAGGAATTTATTTTCATGATACATGTAGTTGTACTTCATCCAATGTTGACTACTAATGTGTGTAGGATTTATTTGTCTTGGATTTGCTTTAAATTAAATCTTTTTATTATACAGTGCGCTCTCGATTATCGGCTGTTCTGCTTATTGGCCAACTTGGTTATTGGCCATTTTTTAGGCTCCCGGTTATCGGCTGTTATTTCGCTTATTGACCGTATGGTACACTTCAACCCGCCACCACCAGCTGCTTGCGTGTCAGTCTGGCTTTGTCTTTGGTCGAGTGAGGAAGCTTCTACTCATTCATCCATGCATTTCGTTATAAGTCATTGAGTTTCGTGGTTATTGATTAATTGCAACTGGGAAATAAGTAACCATGGCCCCAAAGAAATTCCCTAGTATAGTTCTTTTGGTAAAGAAAGTGAGAAACATGATGGAATTTAAGAAAGAAGTTGTTGAAAAGTATGAGAGTGGTGTACGGGTCCTAGAACTTGCCAGGATGTATGGGAAAAACAAATCAACAATCACTTCTATCCAGGCAAAGAAAGAACAAATCAAGGAAGCTGATGTGGTGAAAGGAGTAAATGTGCTAAACAAACAAAGGTCACCGATAATGGAAGATATGGAGAAGTTGTTGGTTTTGTGGATCACCGAAAAACAATTAGCAGGAGATAGTATGGCAGAGTTGATGATCTGTGAGAAGGCAAGGCAGTTGCATGTGGATCTTGTAAAGAAAATGCCTGGAACAAGTGCTGTTCTTAGTGATGTTAGGGTGGTCAAAGGCTGGTTTGAAAGACCTAAGAAGCATAGTGGGATACACAGTGTGGTAAGGCATGGGGAGGCTGCAAGTTCTGACAAATGTGAGGCTGAAAAATTTGTGCAGGAACTCAAGGGGTATGTAGAGGCTGAAGGATTCCTCCCTCAACAAGTGTTCAGTTGTGACAAAACAGGCCTATTTTGGAAGAAAATGCTACATTACGCAGGAGGAAAAAGCACTGCCAGAACACAAGCCTATGAAACACAGGCTTACTCTTTTGTTCTGTGTTAATACTAGTGGGGATTTCAGAGTGAAGCCTTTACTGGTATATCACTCTGGAAATCCCAGAGTATTCATGTCATTAAGAATAGATTGTGTAGAAAGCTAATAATAAGGCATGGGTCACAAGGCACATTTTCAAAGAGTGGGTCAGTGATGTGTTTGGCCCCAGTGTGAAAAAATACCTCCTGGAAAAGAAATTGCCACTTAAGTGCCTCCTGGTACTGGACAATGCTTCTGCTCATCCTCCAGACTTAGAAGACCAGTTGTTTAGGGACTTCCATTTTATAACAGTGAAGTTCTTGCCTCCTAACACTACTCCTCTCATCCAGCCCATGGACAAGCAGGCCATTTCTAACTTCAAAATCTCTCCACAAAAGCAGTGTTTCAAAGGTACTTTGAAGTGACCTCGGACACTCATTTGACCCTAAGAGAGTTCTGGAGGAATCACTTCAGTATCCTCCATTGCATAAGCCTTATAGGTAAGGTTTGGCAGGAAGGACTTTGAACTCTGCTTGGAGAAAATTGTGGCCAGATTGTGTCAAAGAGAGGGATTTTGAAGGGTTTGAGGCTAACCCTGAGGACCCTTTGCCTGTTCTGCAATCTATTGTGGCACTGGAGAAGTCCATGGGGTTGGATGTGAGTGGCGAGGATGTGGAAGAGTTGGTGGAGGATCACAGGGAAGAGCTAACCACTGAAGAGCTGCAAGACCTTCAACTGGAACAGCAACAGACTGCAACTGAGAAAATTGCTTCAAGGAAGGAGGAAGAGAGAGGGAAGAAAGTGCCTTCTTCAGTGATTAAGGACATGTGTGCAAAGCAGAATGAGTTGCAAAGTTACGTTGAAAAGTATCACCCTGACCAAGCTGAAACAAGCCATATCTGCAACATGTTCAGTGACAAAACCTTGTTCCACTTCAGGGAAATCTTAGAGAGATGCCAGAAACAGAGCATTATAGATAGTTATTTTGTGCGACGGGCCCAGTGACTCTCAAGCTGGTCCTAGTGGCATTAAAAGACAAAGAAGGGAAGTAACCCCTGAGAGGGACTTGTTGCCTGAAGTCCTTATGGAGGGGGATTTCCCTTCCAAACAATAACCCCTATTCCCTCTCTCCTTCTCCCTATTTTCCATAAGCCAAAAAGAGTCTTCAGTAAAGATATGTAATAGTGATTTAATTGTTCATGTATTTATTTTATTTAGTTTTATTGTTTTGTGTATGTAAAACTATAATTACTCTTAAAAAAAAAATTTTTTTGTTACTATTTTTGGGCGTCTGGAATGGATTAATTGTTTTTACATTAGTTCTTCTGGGAAATATTATTTCGATTTTCAGCCATTTTGGTTTTAGGCAGACCTTCTGGAGCAGATTACGGCTGATAACCGAGGGTCCACTCTAATTGCAATTAAATTATATTAATATTCAGACTTCAACTTGTAACTAGATATTTTTTTCATGGCAATATAAATTTTAAATTGCTAAGAATGGTAGCAAAATAGCTGTGAGTCCTCATCAGGTTCAGTTTTCTCAGCTACACAAAAGTCCTGTTTGTATAAGCAACCCTCAAAAACGAGAATGAAACTTGTGATGACATTTCGGTCCGACTTGGACCATTAACTGTGTAACTAGTTAATGGTCAAAGTCAAACTGAAACATCATCATAAATGTCAGCTTTCTATGTGTGGGTTATTTGTATATTGTTCCTGTCACAGTACTGATCATCTCCATTGAGTTCTTGAGAAAGTGCAGTAGGAACTGACCCAACCTTTTATGTCATCAGCTTATCCTAAAATTTCATTCAAATTTCTTTGAACTGCATCTTAACATGAAATATTTATGAGCATTGGGATAGGGCAACTGGCTTCTATTATAATTATTCTCCTGTAATTGTAATATTATCCATGTTTCAGATTCATGCAGTTGATCACAGGTTGTATTTTTCTTGTTACTAGCATTGTGGCTATTTGTATAATAACTGTGGAAAAAAAATTATTTGCATCTTATTATTATATCTTTGTGTTTGTATGGAATACCAAAGTCTCCATATGCAGTGGTTATTATTTTGGTTAAGATGCCCTACCTCTCAAGTTATCTGAGGGGAGAACTTTTATGCAACAGGCAGGGTGTCCAAGAAAAATTTTGCAGGGTAGAAGAAGACTGCTTTGGGGTTCCTGGAGGCAGGCTGAGATTTTTACATAATTATTTTTCTAAATAAACTAAAAATAGTTGAAATTATCAAACAAATCAAATTAAAATATCAAAATCAAACATCTATGGCTATGGGACCCCTTCAGAGATTCACAGCCGGGTCCTGGACCAATGTACCGGCTAAACTCCCCCCCCTCCCTCTCATAGGCTCTGGCAACCAGTCTGCATTAAGTTCCTACCCCCAAGGTGCCCTCTATCTTGACTGGCATTCTATTTACGAAGGAATTTAATTAATGCATTAAAGGAATCAAGGATTCCTCACATGGATAATGCCATAACATTTGTAAAAACAAGTAGACTGTAAAATCGAAGGGCCAAATATGTTACAAGAAATAGCTTGATTAACACATTGACTGAAATAATCAAGATGCATGCTCAACAACTTAACACATGAATTTGAATAACAACTATGTATTTTTTAGGTCAGCCAATAACTACAAATTTGCATATGATGCCCTGTGAATACCTCTTCTGAATCACTTCAAATCTTCATCGCAAATATTTAACTGCATTACAAACTTGTGTTACACTCTTCACTACTCCAAATGCTTGAACTGTTGTAAAGGGACTGGGATTATGCATACACTCTTCACTACTCCAAATGCTTGAACTGTTGTAAAGGGACTGGGATTATGCAGTATGAAAATGTCTTTCTTGAAACACTCAGCTTCAAAAATATTTCTAGTTTCCACAGCATTTGCCTGTTTTGTTATTATTTTGATTTTTACACTGTTCACTACTAGGTTTTGTATGTCTATTTTATCGCTGGCAGGTTGGTAATCATATCGTCAGCCTCTTGCCGAATTTCTCACAACCTATCTATACAGGCTAATGTTACTAATTACTTCACTCTCCCTGCAGGTGGTGTACCCATTCCTGCATGAGGCTACCTTCATCATGGTCACCACACCAGGGATTGACTACCGTCAGAGTGCTGTCCTTGGCAATGTTCTTCATCCAGGTTACATCCCCAACCACATGGATGATTTCCCACGCCCGTATTCCATCTGGAATCGCATTTATAACACTATTTATCAAATAGGATTTTCGATTTACTGGCGCAATTGGGCAGTCTTGCCACTTGTGCAGAAAGAGGTAAATAGCATGCAGATGCCTAATTTTCAGCAAAAAAAAAAAAAAAAAAGTCAGTCTTTCAGTTATTCTTGGTAATCACACACACACACTTGTGCATCATGCCAAATAACCCAAACTGATGAATTAGGCCTAAAAAGCAAGGGAGCTTTCCAAATAAGCACAGTGAAAAATTGTTTTTGCCATAATACATGTACTGTGAAAATCAATCTGAACATCACGAAAAAAATATATACAGTAGACCGACATTTAACATTGTAGTTACGTTCCTAAAAATGCTGTGTTAGGTAAAACTGTGTTAGATGAACTGAAGAACTTATGGGAAAAATAGGGTTATGTTCCTGGCAGCCCCAAGAAAGCCAAACAACTTTTTTTTAGGCCTCCAATTTCTTGCAAAAATAAAAGTGAATATGTAATTTAGTTCATTGTTGTGATGTATTATGTTGTTTTTACTGGTTAAGGCTACAGTTGTAACAGAAATAATAGTATTTCTAACCTTAAATTGTGGGTGCTGGTGTTTGTGGATGATTGTGAAGAGAGTTGTGGCCCTACTGGGCTGAGGTGGATGGTAGAGGTTCTGGTACTGAAGTTGATGGTTGTACTGGAGTGTCTAACTTTAAGTCATTCAGTCAGTCAAGTAATTCAGTGAGTGAAGTCAGTCAGTCAAGTCATTCAGTCAAGTTGGTAAGTCATTCAGTCAAGTCAGTAAGTCATTCAGTCAAGTCAGTAAGTCATTCAGTCATGTCAGTCATTCAATCAAGTCAGTAAGTCATTCAGTCAAGACAGTAAGTCAGTCAGTAAGTCATTCAGTCAGTCAAGTCAGTAAGTCATTCAGTCAGTCAAGTCATTCAGTCAGTCAAGTCAGTAAGTCATTCAGTCAAGTCAGTAAGTCATTCAGTCAAGTCAGTAAGTCATTCAGTCAAGTCAGTAAGTCATTCAGTCAAGTCAGTAAGTCATTCAGTCAAGTCAGTAAGTTATTCAATCAAGTCAGTAAGTCGTTCAGTCAAGCCAGTAAGTTGTTCAGTCAAGTCAGTAAGTCATTCAATCAAGTCAGTAAGTCATTCAGTCAATTCAGTAAGTCATTCAGCAAGTCAGTCACACAAACTCATGCTTATCTTTTTTTTATGTGTACAAGGTAACTCTTCATTACAGTTATCTCTTGTCTAATATCTTTGTTAATTCTAAGACTTAAATGCTTATACCTTCTCTTGCCACTTTCAGCAAAACTGGTATGCCAACTGGGTGTCTTGATTGCTTGGCAGATGCAAGATATAGTAATTAAAAGGTCAAAGCACAATTCACAAACACAGTTAGCTTGTAGCAGAGAAGGACTGGACTGGACATATATGAAGTACGAATGCTGGGGTTGTGGGGTGGTCTGGCTGATCCACAACAAGGCGGCCACGTGAGAAAAAGGGATTTTTTTTTCCTTCCGGCAAACTGAACTGTGTTAAATTAATTTTACGACGTGTTACATAAAATTGTGCAGAAATTCTTCAGTCATGCTATACCCAAATCGTGCAAAATAAACTCGTGCCAAATGATGGTCTACTGTAATTGATTTTAAGTATTATACTAAATAAATTTAAACTGACCTATAAATATATATATATATATATATAATATATATATATATATATATATATATATATATATATATATATATATATATATTATATATATATATATATATATATATATATATATATCTTTCTTTCAACACACCAGCCGTATCCCACCGAGGTGGGGTGGCCCAAAAGGAAAAACAAAAGTTTCTCCTTTCATATTTAGTAATATATACAGGAGAAGGGGTTACTAGCCCCTTGCTCCCGGCATTTTAGTCGCCTCTTATGACACGCATGGCTTACAGAGGAAGAATTCTGTTCCACTTCCCCATGGAGATAAGAGGAAATAAACAAGAAAAGAATTAGAAAGAAAATAGAAGAAAACCCAGAGGGGTGTGTATATATATGCTTGTACATGTATGTTTAGTGTGACCTAAGTGTAAGTAGAAGTAGCAAGACTTACCTGTAATCTTGCATATTTATGAGACAGACAAAAGACACCAGCAATCCTACCATCATGTAAAACAATTACAGGCTTTCGTTTTACACTCACTTGGCAGGACGGTAGTACCTCCCTGGGCGGTTGCTGTCTACCAACCTACTACCTACAATATATATATATATATATATATATATATATATATATATATATATATATATATATATATATTGTAGGTAGTAGGTTGGTAACAGCAACCGCCCAGGGAGGTACTACCGTCCTGCCAATGAGGAAAACAAAAGCCTGTAATTGTTTACTGATGGTGGTTTGCTGGTGTCTTTTGTCTGTCTCATAAATAGCAAGATTACGGGAAGTTTGCTATTCTACTTACACTTGGGTCACACTAAACATTTACAAGCATATATAACACCCCCTCGGGTTTTTCTTCTATTTTTTTCTAGTTCTTATTTTTGTTTATTTCCTCTTACTCCAGGGGAAGTGGAACAGAATTTTTCCTCCAAACCATGGTTTGTAAGAGGCAACTAAAATGCCGGAGCGGGGGGCTATTAACCTTTTTCTCCTGTATTATTCTAAATGTAAAAGGAAAAACTTTCTTTTTTCCTTTTGGGCCACCCCCCCCTCGGGGGGTAGGGCCGGGTGTGTTGAAAGAAGAAAATTATATTATATAAAAAAGGGGGGAAAGCATGGAACTGATGGGATCAGAAAAAAAGTTAAAAGGGGGGGGGGATATAGTGTTGGAGGGTTGGTATTTTTTGTTTAAAAAATGAAGAAAGAGGGGAAGGTACCTAGGGATTGGCGAAGCATGTTAGCCCCCTTTTATAAAGGGGGAAAGGGGGACAAAAGAGTTTTAAAAAATTAAGGGGAATAAGTTTACGGGTTTCCCGGAAAATATACGGTAGGTTATAATTGAAAGAATTAGAGGTAAGACAGAATTAAAATTTGGGGACGACAGGATTTTCAGAGGGGGTAGGGGATGTTAATCAAGTGTTTACTTGAACATATAGTAACAGTATTTAGAAAAAGGAGGAAGTTTTTAATGCATTTATGGATTTAAAAAAAGGGAAGATAGATGGAAAGGAGCATGGGCAGATGTTGCAAGTATATGAATAGGTTGGTAAGTTATAAATGCCGAAAAGACTTTATGGGTAGGGGGCCCGGTTGGGGTTGGTAGAAGAGAGGAAAATATTTCCCCGGGTAAAAGTAATCTTAGACGGGGAGTGTAATTCACCATGGTTGTTTAATATATTTATAAGGGGGGTTGTAAAAGAAGTAAATGTGGGGTTTTTTCGGGAGGGGTGGGATTAAATTAGGGGGAATAAAATTAAAAGGGGAAATTGAAAAATTACTTTTTGCGATGTAGGGGCTTAGGGGAGATTCAAAAAAAAAATTGCAAAGGTTATGGATGAGTTTGAAATGTTTAAAGGGTAGAAAGTTGAAAGGAACATAAAAAAGAGAAGGTGTGAGGGTATCAAATGTTTTAATAAAGAAAAATGGATACAAATTGGGAGAGGAGTAGGGAAAAAGTGAATGTTTTTTAGATACTTGGGGGGGGGATGTGTCGGGAGATATTTATGAAGGATGAGGGTTAAACATAGAATTTATGAGGGAAAAAAGGGGATGGTGTGTTGAGGGATATTGGGGTCAAAAAACGTTATCTTGGAACAAAGAAGGGGTGTATGAAAGTATAGTAGTACCAAAACTCTTATATGGATGTGAACTTGGGTGGTAAATGCAGAGCGAGGAGAAACGTTGGAGGCAGTGGAGATGTCCCCGTCTAAGGCAATGTGTGGGGTAAATATAACAGAAAATTTGGGTGTGGAAATTAGGAGAAGGGGTTGAGTTAATAAAAGCATTGTCGAGGGCAGAAGAGGGGTTTTTGAGGTGGGTTTTGGGCATTTTAAAAAAAAGGATCAAAGTGAATGACATGGGAAAAATTAAACTAAGGGGAAGGAAAGAGGGGTAGGGGTCGTCTCAAAAGGGTTGGAAAGAGGGGGTAAAGAGGGTTTTTTTGGGGGGGGGCTTTGGGCTTCCCCGCAAGGGATGCATGAGCGTGTTAGATAGGAGTGAATGGAGACGAATGATACTTGGGGCCTGACGATCTTTGGAGTGTGAGAGGGTAATATTTAGTGAAGGATTCAAGGGGAAACCCGGGTTTTTTCTATAGTCGGATTTGAGTCCCGGGAAAGGGGAATACAATGCCTGCACTTAAAGGGGGTTTGGGGTTTGGCAGTTGGAGGGATATTTGTGTATCTTTTTACTATATGCTTTAAACTGTTTTTTCTGACACCTCTGCAAAAGCGAAAATGTGTGAGGTGGTGAAAGGTTGAAAGAGATGAAATATTTTTTTTTGGGGATTTTCTTTCTTTTTTGGGCACCCTCCTCGGGGGGGAGACGACCGACTTGTTATATATATATATTATATTTTTCAACCCAAATGGTCGTTCCCCCCGAGGCAGGGTGACCCAAAAAAAAAAGAAAACCCCAAAAAGAAAATACTTTTTAGCTCATTCAACACTTTTACCACACACACTTATACTGCTTTTTCAGAGGGGCTCAAAAACAACAGTTCAGAAACAATCAATAAAAAACACAACATACCCTCCAAACTCCAATATCCCAAAAAACCCCCCTTTAAAGGGGAGGGATTGTACTTCCCTTTCCAGGACTCAAAATCCACTATATGAAAAATAACCCTTTTTCCCTGAATCCCTTTTCTAAATATTACCCTGCTCACACTCCCAAAAGATTGTCGTCGCAAGTACTTCCTCCATTCACTCCTATCTAATACCTATGCCCTTGCGGAATCCAAGCCCCCAACCCCACAAAACCTCCTTTCCCCCTCTTTCCAACCCCTTTGATCCCCTCCCCCCCTTTCCCCCCCTATAGATTTATAGGGTTTTTCCATGTCATTCTATTTACCATTCTCTCTAAATACCATCAGTCAACAACACCTCTTCTGCCCTCTGACTAACTTTTTT